AAGAAAGAAAGAAAGAAAGAAAGAAAGAAAGAAAGAAAGAAAGAAAGGGAATAGAAAATTGAAAAAAATTTAAAGGCTTGCTGTTTCCTCTGTTTTTCTCAGTCCTGGATTTACCGGCAGATTTAAAAAACAAACAAACAAACAAAAAAAAAAAACGAACAAAACAAAAAACAACGTTTGCGGGATCGGGACGAGGGGTTTCTCGACTCTCAGGATTCTTTCAACAATTGGGTATACGTGTGATCAGTCTCTTAAATAGGTTTGCCATGTTTTTTTGTTTCTGATTTTAAACGTACCATTCGTTAAAATTGGAAGAGAGCGCGCTGTGGCCGGCTGTGTGGTGGACCGCGGAGGAGGAGGGTGACATGGAACTGGTGGTCGGGTTGTCTGTAGTGGGAGAGACGATGGTGGGTGGCGTGGACGACTCGTACCCGGAGCTGGCGGCGGGTGAAGGCTGTGAGCCCTGAGAAGAGGACTCGTGGACCTGAGAGAAGAAAGTTGCCTTTTTAATGAAGATGAAGAGCGGGCCAAGCGGCTGCCCGTGGCTGGGAAGGCTGGGAAGGCTGTGCTCCCCCTCCCCCGCCGTGCGCCCCCCTTCCCCCTCCCCCTCCCCGCTTCTTTCAAAGCCGGGGATCTCCCAGACTCTCTCGTCCCGCAGGACCAATGGGACTCCGGGCTGGGTTCTCCCCGGCCTGGCCCGGCACAGCCAAGCTCCAGGAGGGAGACTCTGCCCGGAGGACTCACAAAAGAAAAGGGGGAGGGGAGCTGGGAAGGAGGAGGTTGCTTTGGAGGCCGGAGTCTAGGAAAGTTGGGCTTCCTAAAGTTTGCCTGGCCACTCGGAGGGAGAGCAGACACTGAGAGCCGGGCATTGGGCCGCACCTCGTCCGCCTGGCCCTTGGCTGCCGGGAGCTATGGCCCAGCTTAGCGCTGCCTCGGAGCCACCTCACTTGTGTTTACTTTCGTTACGAAGCAGCGAGTTTAATGGGCCCGCGGTGCCTCCAACCTCCCTACCCCTGTTCCCTCTGCCCAGGTTCCACTCAACCGAACCAAACCGTTGGCCTCTGGGGCTCCTGCGGCCTCCCAGAGGCCGCTCCAGGGTGGCTGGCCCGGGAGCCGGAGCTCAGAGAGGGGCTCCCGCCAGCGCGCGCCAGCGGCCAGGGCGCAGCGGTCTTTACCTTCATGTGTTTGCGCAGAGAGCTGGGGTGCGTGTAGGACTTGTCGCACATCTTGCAAAGGTAGGGCTTGTCGCTCGTATGCACGTGCATGTGCTTCTTGCGGTCGCTGCTGTTGGCGAAGCGCCGGTCGCAGCCCTCGAACTCGCACTTGAAGGGCTTCTCCCCTGAGGTGGAAGTTGAGAGAGAAGGAGAGAAAGAGAGAGAGATGGGTCTCGTTCGGAACGGGTCGGTAGCCGTTGGCAGAGTTTAGTAAATAAAATTATTGAGTAGATTAAAACGCTGGCTGCCCGAGGGCAGCGCTTTCGAGCTCAAAGTGTGGGGTTTTGATAAATTCACGCATCTGGAGGGGAAACTATGAATAACTTAACTCTGTTTTAAGGCCCCGAGACAATTGTATCTACATTTAATTTTTACTTTGCAGTTGGTGGTGGTAGTAGCAATAGAAGTAGCAGGAGCAGTTTCTGGTTTGTTTGTTTTTGTTTGTTTCAATCCAGAAGAGCAACGGCTCTAGATACTGGTTTTTGTGCCCAGCTCTTGACAGAGGTCACCTAACGACTTCTAGTTAGCAATTCTTTTCTAGTTTTCAGGACCGGGCTGATTCACCTCCCGCTTTCCTCTTTCCTCCTCCCTTCTTTCCCCTCCCAGATGCCCTGCACACCAAGTTCGAACCTCATCCACCCAACTCTACCCCACCCCCCCACACACATCACATTTTATGGCGTCTGCTAGAAAGGGGGGGGGGGCCTCCATGCCCCAAGTTCTCACCTGACTGGACCATTAAACCAGAGTTCAAGTCGGGTTCTCCACCACCAGACAATGCCCAAATGCGGAGGGCGGTCAGATTCACTGACTCTTAACCCCAAGTGGCCCATAATTTCCAACCTGCCCCCCCCCACACACACACACCCAACACGAAGCCCTAAACTGCCTGGGGTTTGTTTTGTTATTGTTGCTGTTGTTTCTTTAAGCTTCCGGCTGGTCGGTATTTTTAAAGGCCAACTAGAAACCCCGCATTTTAAGAACAGTCCCTTTACAGTGTAATCGGCAGGTTTATCTGCACCTTCCATCGACTGTCCTCACTCCTCAGTTCCAACCCGTTATTGATCAAATTCAATCTCTTCAAATGTCCATAAACCTAACGTCCTCCTCAGATCCCAATTACAGCTCCTGCCCCGACTGAACCTACCGCCTCTTCCTTTTTATTTTACTTCTACATCCTTTAGCTCATCCTCAACTTCTTCCACATTTTCCCAGCAGAAAGGAACTCAACAAAGTCCCGGGGAGGATAGCCAACAGGAAGAGTTTTAAGATTCGTTGGTCGAGGAAGCAACTGGCGCCTCCGTGGCTGGGATTCCAGCTTGTCGAGCGCTGGCCCAAGCCAGACTCCGCATCCCAGTTTCCAACTCTTTTTTTTTTTAATTCCTTCTTTTTAAAAAATATCTGTACGCTCAGATCCTTCTTGTCCGCGCTCTCTGTTTCCTTATACTCTTAAGACTTAAAAAAACAAATCAGATCTGCCTGGCTCCTGGAATCTGAGGCCCAGACCCGACTGAGGTTAAGGCTTGTGCCTCTCAGCCGCTGACCCTCCCACCCCCAACTTTCGAATCTCAAGCCCGGGTGGGAGGTAGAGCGTCCTGGGTCAGTTTCCATACCTGTGTGCGTTCTTTTGTGGATCTTGAGGTTCTCTGAGCGCGCGAAAACCTTGCCGCAGCCGGGGAACGGGCAGGGGAAGGGCTTCTCGCCCGTGTGCACGCGGATGTGGTTGACCAGTTTGTATTTGGCTTTGAAGGGCTTGCCTTCGCGCGGGCACTCCTCCCAGAAGCAAATGTGGTTGCTCTGCTCCGGGCCACCGACGTGTTCCACCGTGACGTGCGTGACCAGCTCGTGCATGGTGCTGAAAGTTTTGTTGCACGACTTTTTGGGGTTGGCGAGCTGCTCCGGCTCGATCCATTTACAGATGAGCTCTTGCTTGATGGGCTGGCGCATGTAGCGGAAGAAGGCGCCGGCCCCGTGATGCGCAGCCATGTTCACGTTCATGGGCCCGTAGCCGTGGAGCTGCGGCGCGGCGTAGTGCTCGGATCGCGGGCTCGTCACCTGGCCGTACTGCTCCGGCCTCGGGTACATGTCCCCGGAGAAACCGAGCCTCATCTGCCCGTTGACCACGTTGGGCGAAGCGTGGCCCGCAGCCTGCTCGTGGAGCCCGGAGAAGAGGAGGTGGCCCGCGGCGTCCGTGTGGCCGTGTGGGCCCCCGAAGCCGCCGGCCGAAGCCGCGAAGAGGCTGTGCTGCGCGCTAGCGGCGGCCGCCGCGTCCCCGAAGCCCCGGTTGCGGAACAGAAAGTCCCGCGTGGAATTGAAAGCGGCGCTGGAGTAGGAGCCGACGTGGCCCGGGTGGTGATGGTGGCCCAGGGCCGCGGCAGCCGCGTAGCCGGGAGCCTGCGACGTGAAGGCTGTCTGGCCGGCCGAGGCCAGTTCGTGCGAACTGGGGTTGAGCTTGAAGGCGCCCATGCCGTCGGCGAACGGGTTGATGCCCAGGCCCACGTCTCGCTCGGCCACGTCGCCCGCCGAGTGGTGCCGGGATGCGCCAAAGGTGGTCACGCCGATCGCGGGATACTGGGGGCCGGCGTCCAGGAGCATCGTGGCTGCGCGGGGCGAGCCCCGGCCTCCCCCGCCCCCCCCACCCTCGCCCGCCGAGGAGGGAAGATCAGGAGGAGGAGGAGGAGGAGGAGGAGGACTGGGAGGCGGAGGAAGAGGAGGAAGAAGAGGAGGAGGGAGGGGGAGATCGACCCACCTAACGAAGTCTTAGCCAGCAGGCAGCGGCCGGGAGCGAGCCGGCGCCCGCCCGGCCCCGGGCAGGCAAAGCGGGGTGACTGCCGGCCGGTGGAAGGCGGGCTCCGGCGCCTGCCGCTCGAACCGCGCCGGCCGGGGCTCGCACTTTCTCGCCGCTCAGTCTCTGCCGAGAGGGCCTCGAGTCAAGGCTGCCCGGGGAAAGGCATAGAACATCTCAGCCCCCCAATAAAACTTCTTCCCGGATTTGTGGCATAGAGGAATGTGAGCGCGAGGAGCCGCCGCCGCTCGCCCTGTCTCCTCGCGCAGCGAGCCCCTCCTCACTTCTCCACTAGACTCTCTCTGTCTCCTCTCTCTCCCTCTCTCTCTCTCCCCTCTCTCTCTCTCCTCTCTCTCTCTCTCTCTCTCTCTCTCTCCTCTATGTTTCTCTCTCAGGCTCTCCTCCTCGCTCCTTCACTCTCCCTTTTTTCCCCCTCTGTTTTTTTTTTTTTTTTAAAAAAAAAAAGGGGGGAGGAGAAAAAAAAAAAGCAAAGAAAAGGCGCAAATCATGCACAATATTGTCTTTTGCGGTTTATCTTCCTGGGGAGAAACTTTCACCTCCTCAGCCGGGCGGTGAGCGCGAGACTGATAGCAGCAATCATTCCTGCAGATAAATGAATTGAAAGGACGACACCGTCGTCCCCCCCCCCCGATGAATGGGAGCAGGGGGAGGCGTCACGTGCGACCGACGCGGGCGACGATTGGCGAGGCGGCCGTCCCTCCACACACCCCGCCTGGGGCCGCCGCGCCGGCGAAGGGCGCGCGGTGGCGCCGCGCGCTGCTCATTGGCCCGCCCGCCTCATCAATCCCAGGTATTGTAAAGCGCTTGACAGCCCCTTTTGACTAACGGGGCTGCCAGGAGTAGCAACTTTTTCCCCCCCTTGGCAAATTTTTCCCCCTCTTCTCACGGAAGGAAAAAAAAAAATACATGCCACGATTCCTTTTCCCTCCCATAGTCCATTCTCTCTCTCTCTCTCTCTCTCTCTCTCTCTCTTTCTCTTCCTCCCTCCCTTATCCCCTCCTTCCCCCTTCCCTCCTCTCGCTCTCTGTCTCCTACCCCTCCCTCTCCCAGTTCCCTTCTCTTCTACGCTCCCCCCCCGTTTTTCTCCATCTTTCTAATGTCTCACTCTCTCCCCCTCCCTTTCTCTTCCCCCCCCCCTCCCCTCTCTCTCTCTCTCTCTCTCTCTCTCTCTCACTCTCCTCTCCTCTCCTCTTCCCTCCTCTCCTCTCCCTCTTTCCCTCCTCTTCCCTCTGCTACTCTCCTTCAAACCTCCACTGAGCCCCTGGAGACCCAAGACCCCCGGCGTCTCGGAGAGCAGCACCGGGAGCAGCCGAGAAACACCCCAAAGGCACTTCCAGAATGTCCCGATTCAGCAACTTTCTTTTCTCCCTCCCTCCCATTCTCCCCCCACCCCCCTTTCGAGGGCAGCAAAAGAAGCTTTTGTTATTTGCTCCTTTTGAAGTTTGCTTCCTTTTTGACCGGCCTCTCTCCTGTTTATAATTTAAGATTCGGGAGCGCGCGAGGGCACGCCACTCTCTTTCCTAGAAACGTGATTTCTTGGAGCCTCCCCTAGCCTTAGTTTACCAGACTTCCTTCCTGCGTGCACACTTACACCAAAACACAGGTGGATGGACTCTTAAACTTTTCCCGGTTCCTGAGGTTTGTCGGGTTGGGTTTTGTTTGTTTGTTTTTTGTTTTTGTTTTTAATGGAAGTTTGGAAATGTAGTTGCCGGGCTCCCTCTCCCCTCGCTTGTTCTCTCTTCTCGGGTCCGGTCCGTCGTCTGCGCCCCCCCCCCCCCAGCCCGCTCACTCTGCCCTCCGATTCCCATCCCCGGCCCCTTTCATTCAGGTAAAACTGTAAATTTCCCAACGAGCTATTGTTCCTCTGGATCTCTCTAAGCTCCCTAGAGATCCCGGAATACTTTTTGGCATTTAAATCCCCCGGTAGATAGGACCAATGTAAATTTTGTGACATTCAAACCTTTTCCAGTTCACAAATCAGTCACCCTTGTCACAGTTATTGAAATTCCGCAACTTGCCACAACAAGACGGTGGAAAAAGCGGGCGCGGTCTTTGTTGCCGACCAGGCTTTTGATCGCCAGAGAAAATTTACTTACCTTCAGATGAGTGAGCAGAAAAGGAAATAACACTCCCTTTGATTTAGTTAGGAAAATGCAGACATTTGGATTCCGTGCAAACATACAACACTCGCTTGTTTTCGTGATGCGGCCCTCGATTAACCTGTCTTTGCCCAGCGCAAAGTCTATTCAACAACAGTGCGTAGTTGCTTTTTGTCCCATCCACAAAGAACCATTGACTATATATTAAAATGATTGTTAAAAGGTAGAGGAGTATGGCACTTAAAAGCAGGGGGGAAATCCCTGTAACTCAATCAATTAAACCGAGGGACATTTATACATTTCAAAAAATGCACGCGGATGTGCAGCCAGGGGCAATGGAGGTTGCGTTTCTACTTAGCTCAGTTTTAAGCCCATCAGCTTGGCCCAGGATTTAGCCTTAGCGCCTGCATATTCATTAGGTCTAATTATTTTCTAGTAAAGAAAACACAAAAAGCCAAGAGTCGGAATCCTTCAATTTGCCCTTTGTTTCTAACTTCATTTGGCTTCCTTGCAGCTGAACCAAGGCTCTAAACTCTTTTCCAGACAAAGGGACCTTCAACTCATCCTTTCACGTGATGTCCAGTTAGAAAACTTACCAATTCTCCAGGCAAAAGAAAAATAAAAATCTCTCTCTCTCTCTCTCTCTCTCTCTCTCTCTCTCTCATTTGCCAGCTAGCTTTCTAGAGCTGCAGGAATGATGATCTGCACTGGTTACTTCTAGCCTCCTTTCTATTTTGTTTTGTTTTGTTGTCTTCAGCCCTTCTTTCCCCACCCCCCAACTACATTCTGGTTTGGGTACAGTGAACTAGAACTGCCCTTCACACACACACACACACACACACACACACACACCCTCTTCTGGCTCTGAAGTCAGGTTGTGAGTAGGCATGGTTTCCCTGTTCCTGACGAGACTGTGTTGAGCATCTGTGCTTATAGAGCTAGAAAATAGAAATACTAGGGAAAGAGAAAATAATGAGCATTCTGCCCCCAGCAACAAGTCCAGCAGTCCAGCACTAGTCTCCCCTAATCTGAGTGGACTCGTGTAAAGAGTAACAGAAAGAGCCAGAGCAGGTGGTGCTAGGAGCTTCTTTATTTTTAATCCATCATTTATTTAGTTGGGGAAAAAGATATACCAGACCATTCAGTGCTTTTTGCTCCTACAAAGGGAAGTTGGCCCCTAGAATTATGAAAATCGTATAATCTGGGAGGTGTTTTCCTTAGAGGCTGTGCTGCTCTTTCACTAGGGAGAACAAATATTGAACCCACCTTGAGTGCTTTAAAAAAAAAATAGGGAGGGGACCTGAGGGAAGGGTGGCTGTTGGGAGAGGGGAGGGAAAATAATTCTTCAAAAAAGAAAGTCAGGCTTCTCTCCTCCAGTCTGTGGAAAACCCACCGGGGGCGTTGACAGAGGGTATTGTTAGGAAACCCATCCAAATATACAAGGTAAGAGTAACCGTAAAGGGGGGAAAAAGTTGCGGGTTGCAGAAGTTATCAAGTGGGATTTGCGGCGCTCTCTGCAGGACACGCGAGCGGCTCCAGTTCAAAGCCACATGCACCAACGTGACATATAAGCCATTAAAATATCATCCTGACGGCTCATTTCTGCTTCATCATACATTCCCTAACTGCTTCCCCCGAAAGCTGGAGAAGGAGAAATGAAGGATGACCGCCTCGGTGGAACCACAAAAGAGGCTTAGAGGGGTTTCTGGTCCCCCCTCATCCACCCCAAAGTGATGTGCAGAAATGAGGTGATCCGGGCAACAGGTGGAGCAGGGTAAGTGCTGGAAACCAGGGGGGTCAGGCGGGGAAGACCTGTATCCCCAGCGGCCTTGTAGCAAATGTCCTTACGGGGGCCTTAGGCACCCAAACCCCATTGGGAGAATAGGCCTAGTCAGACTTTTTTTTTTTTTTTCTTCTTCGTCTACACCTTCACACACACACACACACACACACACACACACACACAGGCACCGTGGATACAGGCCCCACCCCACTGATTCTAAAGGGGGGTGGGGAGGGGCAGTATTGAGGATGAGTCCTTTCTTTCCTCCCGGGAAGAGTGGGTGCAAAAAAAGACAGATGGGGCTCCTACTGGCAATGGCACCAAAAACAGCTTGTTGCCCGCTTTTCTTCGCTCCTCTCTTCTGTAAATTGCCTGGGTGTGCCCACCGTGGGCACAAGAACAGCAAAAACTGACCAAGGTTTGCCCTTCTTGTTCGTATTGGAAGCGGAGAGGGTGCCTGCGAAGGGGTCCCTTGCGGGCAGCCTTTCTGCTTTTCCCTCCGGCAAGAATGACAAGGGAGGGTTTCGGTTTACCCTTCGCTCCGGGTCAAAGAATCAAATTAGTGCTACGTGAGGCTACACCGCAGAACTTCTCCGGAAACTCACTGAGGATGCCTTCTGGGTCCGCCTCGGGCCGGCTGGCTGCCTGCCTGCCCTAATCCTGGTCCTGCTTCAGGACTCTAACTCTAGGATCTGCTCTGTCTGCGCCGTAGCCTATGGGTTCGCGGTTTGGCGTTCTTTCTCCGGGATGTTGAATGGGGGCTGCGGCTAGTTCTAGGCTGCAGGCTGAAGCCTAGACCCGGGAACATATACCAAATTACTGGCCGGAGAAAAGGGAACGGATTGAGGTGTAAAAGAGCTGCCTGGTTCAAAGTCGAAAAGTTGGGCCCTCGGGGACAGGTGGGAGATAGAGAAATCTTAGAAAAATCTCAGAGGGAGTGGGAGGGCTGTTTCGAGAGTCCCCGGTATTCACTGGAGTCTTCCAGAAAGTACCATCGGATGTCAAGGCTTAGCAGTGACCTCCGGTCTCTAATTGTGGGGCACCGCTTTTTCTCTTCCTGTGTTTTGGGGCAGGGATTTACAATAAGGATAAGGTGCCCAAGCCAGATTGTCTGTAGGTGACCCCAATAGTTTAGGCTTGACTCTGAGCATCCATAGGATGGCTGCCTTCGGCCTAGAGCTGGAGGGATCCAATATCTACCCCCTGGAGGACAGGAGTAAGAAAGCGCATATGTATATAACCGAGGAGCTCAGCTCAATTTCCTGGGGCTTCAGGGCTGGTGGAAAGTAGCCAGGGCAGTAGGCGTGCAAGCAGCGATTGTTCCAAGCAAAGGCCAGCAGCAGCTTTCATCTTTGGCGTGGTAACTCTGAGCCTGCCAGGGTTGAGCCTTTTAGGCAAGTATTCACGCCTGATAGTTAATCGGTGTGGAACTGAAGTCACCAGCTCTAGTTGACCTCTGACCTTAGACAGGCCTGTGTGGACTAAGTCTGCCTCACAACAGACAGACTCTGTGATTCCTCAAACAAAAATAGTGTGTCTTTTGCACTACCAACCAACCCATCTTCTTGTCACTATCAATCACTGAGGCTCCCTGGCACCTCTTTCCTCTCCTCTCAAGGTGCAGGATGAAGGCTGGTTCTGATACCTCCTGGGGGGGTGCTCCTTTCTGAGCTGGTAGCCCCTTGGTATGGGAAGACACCTCAGGAGCAAGATTTTTGGGGGAAATCAAAGAGCTTTTCAGATATATTATCTTGGGGACCTCAGATTCAGGGGCCCAGAGACAGTTCCCAAATTCTTTCCTCATTCTGTTCTTTGAGCAAGATCACTGGCTACACAGGCTGGATGATAGTGTTGGTACAGAACCCTTTTGTCTGCTGTGGTCCAACCTCTGAAACATTTGCTTGCATACCCGTGGAAGCATTTGTAGTGCACGAGGGACATACACAGAGGGCATGAGGGTACCAGCAATTCAGACCTCCTAGAAGTTGGGCTGTGCCAGCCTTGTGTGTAGACAGAAGTTTCTAGGGAAACTTACACCCCTTTTCCTAAGAAGCAAACAAGTAAATTCTATTATTGCCAACCAACCAGAAACTGTGGTGCTAGACATCCTGCCATGAGGACATTCAGAGCTAGGACACCCAGCTCACTGCCCTTCTGTAAGAATACAAAGTTGGGCCCCCTTTCTCTGTTGGTCTGTGCTAGAAAGAGCTGGTTACCTTTTTTGGAAGAATCCTGTTTTTGTTAGAAAGAACTGAAAACAGTTTCCCCCTAGGAGAAGGTGAGTATAGTCAGGCCTGTGCCTGGAAAAGAAAGAGAATGAGTGAAAACCTTCGGGTAGTTTGGGTCTGAGTTAGAGGTGGGAGCCCCATATGACACTGCAGCCCAACTTGGATTTAGCCTGTGGGTCAACAAGTTAAATAGCCACTTGTTCTTTGGGCTAGAGTGTCAAGACAGGCAAATGTCCCATTGACTGAGGTCTTGCTGTGTTTGTCCAGCCCCAGACCTTTCTCAATGACTGTTTGTCCTTCCTCAACAAATTTAGGGTCAACACTAGGTGGATTGCTGTTTGGCTGCTCCACTGTCTTCAGCCTTGTCTGACAGATGCAGAAATCCTCAGAATGCTTTCAAGGATTTATGGTTGCCGAATGAATGCTTAGTAGCTCCAGCCACTGACAAGCAATCTTGAGAGGGAGGCATGATTTCTAAACTTTCCAACTATAAAAAAAGGGGACAACTTGGCACCAAACAACAGCAAGAACAACAGTAACAAAAAAATGGTACATTTTTAATCTAGTGGATTTAATATTAGCTTTGAAAAAAATGAGTCAGTAACAGCTCTCAAGTGGGTTTGGAGCGGGGGTGGGGTGGGGTGGGAAGGGTTGGGACATGTGGGGTTAAAAGCTTATTCACTACTACTGACAGAACAGGATTTGAAAATCTGAAGTTTTCTTCCTTCCAACAATATAACTAAGCGTGATTGTGCACCCCTAGAGAATAGAGGGCTCTCCCCACCACACCACATCAAATGTAAATAACTAACTTGAAGAAATAATGAGATTTTTTTTAAAAAACAAAATCTCAAATTCTAGAAGCCACAGATTTTTGAAGACTGAATGAACACTTCCACCTAAAGGTCAGAACAATGAGTGATAAAAATTCTAGCTGTGAAATTAGAATTTTTCAAATTTTTTTATTACCAAGCCATGTCATTTTACAAGAAATGTGAATAGTCTATAGCAATCTCTGTGTGTGTGTGTGTGTTCCCAAACTTAAAAACGATCAGAGAAATGCTAAAGGATTATTTTCAGACTAACATCTTTCTTTCACTCACTCAGGTCACAGAAACATGTATGGTATTGTTTTACTCAGGGCTTTTCTTCTCAAGCAGGCTCAAACTCAGAAAATGAAATACAAGACTTCCTTGGTGATGAGGAAACGGTTACGGCTTTACAGAAACACCCTGAAAGAATCAAGTGAGTAATTAAAAAAAATCTTACTATAAATAGAGATTTGCTAAAGATTGCTCTCTCTCTCTCTCTCTCTCTCTCTCTCTCTCTGTGTGTGTGTGTGTGTGTGTTTGTGTGTGTGTGTGTGTGTGTGTGTTTATGTGTAAGGCATATTTGATTGTTTCTCTTTTCGTTATATGGGGATGTGAGTTTAGGCACATCTCTAGAGTTCAAATGAAACTTAGAATAACACCTTATTGTTTGATGCATTTGCACACAAATCAATGACACACTGTCCCACCAGCAGCAGCCCGAGGATTAGCCCTCAATGCCTACTCATCTGGATGTTCTAGAATTAATATTTGAGTACTCGATCATCGAAACAACCACCCTTGACCTTCTGCAATTCCACTGTCACATTATTCTATGACATATTCATCTTGAATTCATTTCCAGACAATTTGATTGGGATGAGGTTTGACATGTATTGGCTTCCATGAAAGAAGCAGACTTTGATCTTGGTGATGGGGTTTACAAGATATGCATCATCTCTACCAGGGGCACCAGGCTTCTGCAATGTGGAAGTGACTATGTTCCCACAATGTGATGTCTGAACCAAGAGTGACTGACAGCCACTCTGTCAGAAATACCTTCATTGTGAAGGATTTAATTTCATATTTCATTTAGAATAAGGATAGGATTTAAGGTTGGCTCCCCCCCCCTTTCAGGCATCTATTTTTTTTTCTCATTTCAACTATACAACTCTATGTTTTCTCCAAAGATGTCTCCTCATTAGTATGCAAGACAAGCTTTTTAACAAAAGTTAAGTAAGTTAGGAAATGACTCTTTTCTACTATTTGGGATGATTTTATAGCAGAAGTAAAAAAAAAAGGGGGGGGGATGTGATTATTACATAAATTCAGTTGTTTTGATCTCTTAATTCTATCTTGGAAGTTCTTTTATCCATTTCTCCCAATCTTTTAATAAATAGCATTTTGCAAAAGCATTTCTTGGAAACTGAACTACATCTAAGCATAATTTTTTTCCATAGGCTCCATCCCATTAATGGTGATTAAAGCTAAATTTCCCATCATTAGGAACATTTTCCTCTTTTAAAAAATTTCTGACAGACCTCCCTCATCTCCTTTGCATAATTTAGGATTTGACACGTAGCAGGCTTTGGGTGTCTTAAATGATTTCTTTCCATAAGTCTTGGAGATACCTCCCACTGCAGGAACCCTGAACTCAGTGAATAGCTTCTTCAGAGTTATGCACCTTATTTTGAGTGGCATCGTGGTCAGAAATGTAAAAACAAAACTGAGGAAGTGACTGCAGGTCTAGAAGCAGAATGTTCAGACGACAGAAACTGTTTGGCCTGGCTCTGAGCCGTACTCCCTCAACTGAATAGGTAATCATGATTTAGCATTGTTTCAAAGATCAAAAAAGAAAGGTAGCACAGCCACCGATGCCTTGTCTCCATTGTTCCACCTTTTCAAGAAGAGAGGTCCTATGTTTCAGCCAGTGATGTAAGGTGCTCTGGTAGATGATAAAGCCACAAACTGCCCTATTTCTAAAAAGTAAACTAGAAATCCTTGGTTTCCACCATTTATGTTAGTGAGTTTTGTGAGCAAAAATGCTAAAGCCATGATTCTAGGTATTAATTTTCAGAGGACTAGTGATGTCTGCTCCACATAAGACCTCATGAAAGCTTTACTGCCTTTGCCTTTGCATTTGCCAAGAACACCTCTTGGACAGGATACTCCTTTTCTTTGCAAACCAAACAGGGAGTACCTGAGAGCAAACTGAGCTCCAATGAAGATTAGCACTTCTGGCCAACTGACAGTTTCTGAAACTGGGGATCTTTATATCCTGGGACATCAAAAGGATCTCTGGAAATATTAAAATACACCTCTAGAACATTGGTGTTCCATGACTTGTCATTTCTGATTAGCTTGAGACCGTTTTGGAGTTTATTTTAGAAATATACCTTAAAGGCCCTTACATAATTGCTCAAAGTTCTACGTCAGTAAATATAAATGGATACAAAAATATATTTTTCTCTCTAACTCATTCTCTAGGGAAATGGACCTTAAAAGAATGTCTGGTCCCATTGTTATGTTTAGTCAACCGAGGTATGGACCATATGGCTCCAAGAACCTTGCAAGGATCAGGCAGCCTCTGTGACCTGCAGGTCAACTGACCCCTGGCTACTCAAGAAATGTCTACCCAGGATGGCTCCAGATGTTTTTAGTGCTTCAAGGGAAGGCTGCATCTGGGAAGGAACTCCATGGGGCCAGACTACTGTCAGTGATTTTGGCTGAATCAGATGTGTTTGCCCTTTTGCTGCTGGCACAAAAAGTCATACACATGTTCATACCTTTTCAAGGGCACAGTTAGTCAGACAGACTGTATACTAACAAGATGTGCTTATAAAATCCTCTGGGTTTTTTTTTTGTTGTTGTTGTTGTTGTTTGTTTGTTTTTTGTTTCTGTTTTTTGTTTCGGCTTTGGTTTTGGTTTCTAACCTGTGGGTACACAGGTCAGTGCTTGCAGTTCAGAAGGTCTGTAAACTTGGATTTTTAAAAAATCTTTCTCTCTGCAACCTGCTAATGGAAAGTTAGCATTTTCTTCTCCTGTGAAAATGGGAAGCAAATACATGACTGTTAGGAGTGCTGCATGCTCACCAGGCTTCCAAATAGTTCTGAAAATGCTTAAAACACAAAACAATACAAAAAACAACAACAAAACCTGTACTGAATTGTTATCCAAAACTTCTAATGGGGATTGGGTCACAGTATGCATATGAAAAACCCATGTTGGTTCTGACAGAATAATTAACCAAAGCTAAAATGGATTGTGCATTTGACACATCCTGAACAATTAATTGCCTAGGTTTAGGTGAGAGAAACGTTAATTCTTGGGCAGGTTTACCATCTCAGTTCTGAGGTTCAGATGATAGAAATAGCTGGGCAAGAAGAGACACACTTTTGTTTTCTTTTATCACCGTGTATGCTGTGTTGAAAGCCCTTGAGGCACAGGGGAGTTCAGCTCAGACTCACCTGAATACATGCTTCATTTTTCTTGGAGGTCAGACTTCGAAATTCACTGAAATTTGATAACTGTCCAGAGATAAGGAGAGGGGAGGGAGAGGGAAAAGCAAGCCCACCAGATAGAAGTGCCTCTCATTAAAGGGCTAACAAGAGAAAGCAAAGGAAGCATTCAAAAGGAGAGGAAGCCTGAAGCATAAAGTTCTCAGAGTCTAGTTTTCAAAATGTCAGGAAAGGCTTTGGTTTCTTGGAAAGAATTCAAATGTCTCTCCTTCTCTTCAGTGTGTGTGTGTGTGTGTGTGTGTGTGTGTGTGTGTGTGTGTACACCGAATCTCAGAGAGATACAAACTATTCAAAGCTAGAGAAATTATTGTGGAAGTTAATCCCATGCTAAATCCCTTGCCCCAAGCAGGGATGAATGAAGAAAGTACCAAGCTTTAGAAAATAAGTCAATTATTAAAAAAAAATTAAAGCCTTGTTTAGGGAGTAGGGCTGGAGTAGCTCCCTTGGTGGAGTACTTGTTACCCATGCCCTGAATCCTAGGTTCCCTTTCTTGCTCACACGGTATCAGCTCCTATGTGGTGGCAACATCTGCAAACCGAGCTCCTGGAACGTAGAGTCAGGAGGAGCAGAAGTTCAAACCCCTCCAAGCTCTACACCATCCTGGGCTACAGAAGACCTTGTCTCAAAAACAAAATAAGACAGAACAAACAAAGCAAAGGCCTTTATTTACATTACCTTTATATTACATGGAATGTAATATCATGGGGGAGGGGGCCGTTCCATCAATTCTGTTAGTGTTTCATGCAATTTGTGCAAACCCTCCCTTCTCTTAAAGGGCTATGTTTTATCCTTTCTTCTTCTCCATATTTAGAACTTTCTTTAAAAGACCCAAAGGTTTTTTTTTTTTTTTTGGGGGGGGGTCTTGGAGGTCAGGAAGATCCAAGAAGTTTCCGCTGAAATTTTTGAGCAGGGGCCTGGGCTCAGGAAGCAGTCAATCCTAGGGCAGACATTCCTGAACCAGAATTGAAATCTTCCTGAATTTGTCTTCCTTAGCCTGCCGTGGTGGCAATTCTAGATTGAAGCCCATGGGTGCAGTCAGTTATGCATCCATTCTAGCAAACACTAAGGTTAAAGCTTTGGCAACAAGTGGCCACAGACCGAAAGTAATCCAAGTTGCCATTCTTGGAACATTATTCTGGCTTCGCTGCATAGGGTTCAGGACCCTCAGATTAGTGCCCTGGCTCCTAGACTCCGGAGCAAGGACCTGTTCCTCCCATTTGTGTGTCCAGAGCCATTCATTCATTTATTTACTTAGCAGAATACTCTCAAGTAGATAAATATGAAGTATGATGAAAAGAGCCTTTTCAGGAGAACCTGGGGTGAGTCTGAAACAGGACTTCTCCCCTCTTCACGACCTCCTCTGGTTGAGTTTCTCGAGTCACTCAGGGATTCTACTTTCAGGACTGCCAGGCACCGAAAAGAGACCGAGGCAAGGCTCTTGGAGAAGAGCTAGTAGAGAAGAAGAGGAAGGAGGGTGAACACAGACCGGAAGAGTGGCAGGCACACGCTGTAGATTTAGGGAAAATGAGAGCAGAGCGAGGAAGGGAGAGAGATGGGAGAAAAGAAATGTCAGGAAACGAAAGAGAATGAAATTGGGCTCTAGGTTCTCTACCCTAGAAGTTTCTCTGCTCCAGGCAGCCGGCAGCCTATGTTCCTGCCTTGACCCAGACAGTCTCCTCTGCGTTCAAAGACAAACTTCCGAGACACCTTGAGGGGCTTGAATGCTCAACTGTGCGAGGGACTCTGCTCCTCCCGGAGTCCACACGGGTAGACACGTAAACTAACCCAGCTCACTGACTTCCAGGAGCTCGGTGGCAAAGCTCGGCTTTCTGGAATGGGAGTGGGGGGCTTGGGGGGACGGAGGGAGTTACATGAAAGAGAAAAGATTCCGTGCCTGGGTCAGAGCGCATGAGCAGTAGAAGCGTGAAATGAAATTGGGGTTGGGGGAGGGAGCAAAAGAGGGAAGGAGGGAGGGAGGGAGAGGGGAGGAGAGAGAGAGAGAGAGAGAGAGAGAGAGAGAGAGAGAGAGAGACTGTCATCACTGACGTCGGGCCAGACCACCGGCCAATGGGCGACATTGGCGATTGTTCTCACGGTGGCCCGGGGCCGCAGCCCCGAATCTATTCATTTCCTTAAGCGCCCTGCTGCCGCCTCTGTAGGGCCTGGGATTTCACACAGACATTAAAGACGGAGAAAAGGGGGGGGGTGTACCCAAAACTTAAAGAAAAAAAACAAAACAAAACAAACAAACAAAAAATCCCCACCACTTTGCATAAGTTTTCTCTCTCTCTCTCTCTCTCTCTCTCTCTCTCTCTCTCTCTCTCTCTCCTTTTCTTTTTCGGGTTGCCCTTTCTTTGCACCGCCAGGCAGCAATAGCACTGGCGGCCGCCCGGCAGATGTGCAGCAGGCGGTCCCTTCCAGGCCCAGTGGGACGCTGAAATTAATATATCCGTCTAGGACGCTTTAAAATCACTAACCACTTCCAACTTCACCACCTCCAAAATGACCCCTCCTATCACGCCCGTCTTTGGCCCCGGAGCACCCCTTGGTGTTGGTGGACAAAGTAATCTTGAGATACAGGGGTCTTATACCTCTGCGGCAGAGGCCGTGCCCCCAGGCACCCACAGACTCAGCCCCGCTTCCTTTCCCACCTACTCCATTATCACTACCCCTCTCCGGCTCATGGCGCTGCGGGGGACTCGGCAGAACTGTAGCCCAGCCAGACAGAGGCGGAGGCTTTTTGGCTTCGCTTGGTTCCACAGGTTTACTGCCGGGCACTGTCTGGTTCAAGATCCCAGCACCGACGCCAGAAACCTAGATGCGGCTGGGCAGAGCTTGTCCCCGGGGCCCGGGGAAAGTGCGGAGCCCGTCCCGCCGGTTCTCATACACGCTATTTGTCTCAACAGGTAGCAGCTGCGGACACCATGGGCCCCAGCTGGCCGCGGCTTCGAACCCCTCGGTGTTTGCGGGCCTTCACGAGCAGCCTCCTCCAGCCTCCCACAGCCGTCCTTTGAACGGACTCCTGCGTCTGGGGCTCCCTGGAGACATGTACGCGAGGTCGGAACCCTTTGCACCGGGGCCTACGGCCCGCAGCGACACTCTGGCAGCAGCCACAGCCCTGCACGGCTATGGTGGCATGAACCTGACCATGAACCTCACTCCACCCCATGGCCCTGGAGCCTTTTTCCGCTACATGCGCCAGCCCATCAAGCAGGAGCTCATCTGCAAGTGGCTGGGGGATGAAGGCCCGGTGTCCCCGCGCCCCTGCTCCAAAACGTTCAGCACCATGCACGAGCTGGTCACGCATGTCACCGTGGAGCACGTCGGTGGCCCAGAGCAGGCTAACCATATTTGCTTCTGGGAGGAGTGTCCGCGGCAGGGCAAGCCCTTCAAAGCCAAATACAAACTTGTAAATCACATCCGCGTGCACACGGGCGAGAAGCCCTTCCCTTGTCCTTTCCCAGGGTGTGGGAAAGTCTTTGCTAGATCAGAAAATCTCAAAATACACAAACGAACACATACAGGTCAGTACTCAGTGCTGTCTGCCTCCTCGGCCCCACGGGGCAGAGACCCTTGGGTCTGGATTTCCTTAAGTTCCAACTGAGGGGAGGAGGGAGGTATTTCGGTATTGTTTCCCTGAGCCAGACTTATGAACCGGTAATTAACAGCTTCTGCTACTAGGCTCACCGCTTCCCGGAGGCTGTCTGGAGAGAGTGGCTCCAGACTTTCGTCATCCTGGTTGGTAAAGGGGCGCTTCCAGCTTAGAGATTTGATTTGATTCGATTCGATTTAGGATTTGGAGACTGACCCCTGGGCATGGAGATATATCCCCAGGCCCTGGAGTTTGGTTCTAAGACATATTTTAAAACGGCATGTTTTCCCCCAAAGTCTTAAAGGAAATGGGAACGATTGCCTCCCATTTACAGATCACTTTGGGAAGCTCTTCTCCCCTTTAGCTTCATCAGCAACCTGGATTGAGGGGTCATCTGAACCTTAATAAGTTCCTTAGGGTTTGTGAGCCTTGGGGGCCTACTTTTGAGCTGTTTTTGTATTGTTGGCTCCACGGAAGGGACGTTTTTTGGTAAGCCTCGTCCTTACTTTAGTAGAGACCCAAGGAGACCCACTGCCTTAAACGTCATTTACCGAGCTGGTAAGGGAAATAGGGGCATGTGTCAACCACATCTGTTAGCTCCAGTTAACAGAAAGGACGGGAGCTCAGTGAAGGAGCCTGGGGGCTGAACTCTTCTGGCCAGAAGCATCTAATTAATACAATTGCAAGAAGAAAGTTTTCACACTTTCCGAGCAGCCTGTGAAGTTACATTAATTAGTTTAGCAGCCACCGTTTGACTCTCCTTACTCCCCCCCCCCCTTGAAGTTTAAGAAGTCAGAATCTTCTCCCCTCCTCCATCTTGGAGGCGGGAAAAGGGAAGAATGATGCGGAGACCAGAGGAATTCCAGTTTGGTGCTCCAGTTCTGTGGGCTAGATCTTTCCTTTCCACCCAGTCTTGTTTAAACGGCAACCTTTCTAAGAGTCGCAGTCCCCGGTAGTTGCAGCACCTTGGAGGAAGCTTGCTAAATCTTGCCATCAACTGCCTTCTCCGTGAGGTGTAGGGTTAGAATACTGTCATAGGCTGATCTCGTTCTTTAGCCCCCTGGCATGTCAGCAAACTTCTTGTATGGTTTTCTAGAGCACGTTCTGAGATGTCCCCCCACTCTGTCTCATTCATCTGCCCCTCTCGCTCTCTCTCTTCCCTTATATATCCCCAGGGACAGAGGGATAAGTAAGACTATGATTCTAGCTCTCAGACTTGCTGCTCCAGGGGCTGGCTGCCAGCACCTGGAAGGTGGATTCACAATCCGGGGCCGGAGAAAGAACTCATCTTTAATGACAGGGATTTTGAAGCAAACAAACTTATACTGCTCTTTGCCGGCCCACTGTTTGAAGTCTGTGAAGCAGAAAATGGTTAAATTCTTCGCGTAATCGACCTACATCAGAGAAGCAGAAGTGTGCTTGGCTGGCTCTCGGGCTTGCACGGACTCAAGGCAGAATATTGCGCGTTCTTTTCGGTCTCTGTCCTGATTCATTACAGCTCGGGTTTAAAAGAAAGAAAGAAAAGAAAAGAAAGAGAAAAAGAAAAAAAAAAAACCGCAGAGCCTCCCCCGTCCCTCAAATCTCCTAAGTAATGGCAAGAAAAGGAGGAGGCAAAGCAGCAACAAAATGTTTCTCAAATGGCAATAGAACGCTCTACAAATTATTCATGAAGACAGTTTTCGATTCAACAGGAAAATAATTGCCTTTTCAAATATTAATGGCGTTTCATTTCCTCGAGTCGCGGAAGCGGCGATCAGGAGCAGATTTCTTAGCTGGGCTTCTCCCGACTGTGACTTCCCAGGCCTGGCTCTGGAGGCGGCGGGTGAAGAAAGGTTTTCACTCTGTGACTGTGACAGAGACCGGGGAACAATGGTGCGGTGGCGGCGGCGAGGGAGGCGCGGGCCAGGGGCGCGCGCCGGGCCAACCTCCCAAACTGGCGCGCCTCCCGGAACCCCTGCCCCGGGCTCTCCCCACCTTTTCCCCGCAGTCAGTCAGCCTTCGTGGGGAGGGGGACGTCGCGGGGTGGGGGGAGGGATGGGGGTACAGGCCGGCGCCCGGGCCGCTCCGGGGCGGAGTCACCGCGAAAACAGACCCAGCCACAAGTGCGAGAAGATGGCGCTGGCCCGGCGGCCCCTTTAGGCCGGCCAACTTTGGGTCCGAGCGGACGGAGACCACGGCTGGCACCCTGGAGTCGGAGCCGAGGACCAGGGCCAGGGCCAGGGCCCCCGATCGGGCTCCGGAGGTTCGAGGCCTACAGCGGCTCCAGTCTAAGACTCGGCTCGTCCCGCAGGAGGCAGGCCCAGCAAGGCGCCGCAGGGTCCACCCTCCCACCCAGGGAGTCGCTCTGGGGCGTGGGGGTGGGGTGGGGTGGGATGGGAAAGGGCGGCGGGGAGGGAGGGCCGTCTTGAGCGCAGAGACCAGGGCGCCTCCTGCAGCTAGGGAAGGCTAGGGCCGGGCTGCACCGGGTTTCCCGGGGACCTGCTCACCGCCGCCGTCGCCGCCGCCGCCGCCACCACCCCCCTCCCGGTACTGAAGCCTTTCCGTACCTGCTTCTTTTCTTCTCCTGTTTCTCGTCTGGAGCGAAATACTTTTCTAGTTTACACGGCCAGACACTGGGGATGGAGTGTGTGGAAGCGGAATTCCCCCCCGCCTCCCCCCCCCCGCCCCAGATTCCCGTTACAAAAAATTTAGCCTCAAGTTCTCATCCCAAATTCTATCCACCATCACCCCCCCCCGCCGAAAAAAAAATCCCCTTAGTTTCTTTTGTAGGCTTCAGCTGAAAAAAAAAAAAAAAAGTTTGTTTTTAATGAAGAGGAGGAGGGAGAGAGGTAGGGAGAAGAATTTGGGGTTTGCAAACGCTGGTGAAACCAAGGGAGAGAGATCCGAGGACGAGTAGGGCCACTGATTTGTTCATTATACATATCCTCCAATTTTTTTTTTTTTTTTTCGTAAGACCGTGCCTTGTCCTGTGAAAATGGCAGCAGGCAACCTCTTCCTGAGGATCCTGGTGTACCAGCTCATCCAGCAAGGGTGAGCGCTGTCTGCGGCCGGGGCGGGAGAGACCGATTCGCCCGCGTTTGCCCAAGCCAAAGGCAGGTTGTCCCAACCTGAGCTCTCCGACGCCGCGCGGCGCGATGGGGGCTTTGTGGGGCTTATCGGGGAGTCTCTCGTATAAACCGCGGAAGAAGCGACCTCAGAGCCGGCGGCGGGGCATCTTGCTTTTGAGTCAGATGCTAGGGAGGTCGCACCCAGGACCTCCAGTTGCTTAGAGCGGAGACACCTCCCCCCCCCCCATTCCTTTTCGAAACAACCTCAGCTGAGCCAGAGACTTGGAATTCTGGGTTCTGGGGGTGGGGTGGGGTGGGGGGTCCTTTCCTCTCCCACACAGCAGCAGCAACCCCTGGAATGAGGCTTGGCCCAGCCGATAGTCCCAGCCAGATATGCGCGCGCCCTGGCCTTCCTGCTCTTCTAAGACCTGCGCTACACCCCGTGGTCCGTGAGGCCGGACCCGGCCTGCCACTAGCAGGCACTCACCCGAAGCTTGCCACACTCAGGGCCACGATATCAACAGACTTAACACCGCCAGGCCTGAGCGGACTTCCCCCCCCCCATCAGACTCTGGGCCTCCTCTGGCCTGCAAGGTGGAACAGGCGGGCGGGGAATTGTCTTGGGAGGATCATGGACCTGAAATTGTCAGTTTGGGCTGAGAGGGCCCGCGCTACACTCGACAAGGTCTCCGCTGCGCCGCTGGATCCGTATAATAAAATATTACAGTCGGCGAAGGAACACAATCTCGAGGAATTTCGGATAGATTAGTCAAGACGCGAATAACGTTACAGTATATTTATCGTCAGCGGGTGAAGTGGAAAGGAGAGAGGGCTCTATTTCCTGGGGAAAATAGCCCTCGGGATGGATCCCTGCTCAGAATGTTTCCCCACGCTAGGCACACGCAAGAACCACCCGCCACCCATTCTCTCAGATCCTCTCATTGCTTTGGCACTTGCACAAAAACCTACTTCAGAAAACACTTTGGACGAGGATGGAGTATGTGTCCGGCGGATTGCTGGGCAAGGCTCACTAGGGCAGAGACAGATGGCTTGGGCAGTTACTTCAAATACAGAAAAGGAAAGAAAAAAAAAAAAAAGGCGAGCTCCTCAAGCAACTCGATTCTTTGGGCAAAGGTGCTTCTGCCTCCACACAGATGAAAAGTTGGAGGACAACAACGTGCCCGGATAAGGATTCTGGAGAATGGAAATGACTGTGGTGGAGTCACGGTCGCTCCACCTCCGACGGCCCCCACCCCACCCCACCCCCACCCCTAGGCCTAGGACTGACGGGGGTGGTGCAGGAGTGGCAGCCTTTAAGAGTGGGCTTCACCTCCTCGCTGCCTGGGGGAGGGGGTGTCAGACCTAAAGCACGGAGGAAAAGTAATTTCTAAAAAAATCTTTTGTGGTCCTTTTGCTGAAAACAAAAGAGCAAGGGGATTGGAACGCAGCCCACACCTTACTAACGTCTCTGCGTTACCTCCCCCTCCCCCCCGCAGGCGAGAAGCCCTTCCGATGCGAGTTCGAGGGCTGCGAACGGCGTTTCGCCAACAGCAGCGACCGCAAGAAGCATTCGCACGTGCACACGAGCGACAAGCCTTATATGTGCAAGGTGCGCGGGTGTGACAAGTGCTACACGCACCCCAGCTCTCTGCGAAAGCACATGAAAGTTCACGGCCGTTCGCCGCCGCCCAGCTCCGGCTACGATTCAGCTCTACCGTCCGCTCTCGCGTCGCCCTCCTTAGAAAGCGGCCGGGAGCCCCCGGTAGCCTGCTCTGCGGCGGCGGTGGTGCGTGGCGCAGACGTGAGCGAATGGTACGTGTGTTCGGTCGCCTGGCCCAGCGGTGGCTGACTCTGCAGCGCCCCCACCCCAGCCTAACGACACCTCTGGGCCCAGCCGCAGCCACCGCCGCCGCCTCCAGTATCAGGGCCAGTACTTTCCCAGCGTGTGGACTTCGAGTCTAGGCCTGGCCACTGAAGCTTCAAGGAGTAGGCAAGGAACGAAGGGAGGGAGAGTAGAAGGGCCGGCAAGTAGCTAGACCGCCATTAAAAGTTATTGAATATACTGATACTAGATCCTTATAGGAAAACATAAATGTGGCCATGCCACAGTCACATCCTTTACCGCCCTTTGCCCATGAAACCAATGTCCGGGGATAAGGAGACAGACGAAAACAAAACAAAACTTATTAGAATTTATTCACAATTCTGGCAACTGCAGGTGTCACAAGTAAAGCCATAAATTTTCCCTGTGGGTGTGGAAGGGTGGAAAAGATTTTCCTGAAGCTGGGCCATTGCCTCCCCAGATCCCAGTCTCGGACTCCTTTTCCTTCCCTCCCCCTCGCCCGTCAATCGCAAACAGAGGCGTTCAGAGCCCAGGAGGTGGCAGACAGAATTCCACAACCATTTTCTTGCAGCCCATTTATCTTCTCCTTTGCCTCCATACACTCTCCCTTTCCATAGCTAATCCTGAAAAACAACAACAAAATAAGCAAATAACAATGACAAAGAAACCAGAAGTCCTGCACTGTTCAACCACCTTTATAAGGGAGAGAAGTAGGGAGACTCTTTCCCCTTCTCTCTTGGGATGCTACATACCTTCAACCCCAGTGCCTAGCAGAGGACATAGATAGGTCTGTTCTGTTGGGCTTCAAACTCCATTTACATTTTATACTTGCAGTGGGGAGCGGGTCCAAAACAATAGAAAGCAGAGACAAAGGAGAGCTAAAAGGCTTTTTAAGGATTCTGAGTTGTGAAGCTCCCAGGCTTCCTTTTCCCACCCCCATCTGTTTAGGCTCTGCTATAGAGCCTCATAGGTGCTCAAGCAGGGGACCCGGAGCTGGCTGATGTCATCATTGAACCAAGGTCTCCGCAGTCCAGGATGTGCCTTAGAGAACACCAGCCGTTCTCCAATAGCTTTTGTTAGCTAACACAATGTTAGCCTTCTTTAAAAAAAAAAAAAAAAAAGTTTGTGGGCATGTGAGAAATGAAGTACAATGACAACTATTATGCAGGCAAACACCTAATAGGTCTGAAGAGTTGAGAGTATTTGATGTGCTGGTTATGAAGTCCTCGGAGGTGTGTGTGTTGGCGGGGGAGGGGGATCCAGATATTAGTGGGGGTGGAGAGCAAGGGGGAGAAACACACGGGGCCTTCCTCCTAGCCTGCCACCCTCTGTAGGGAAGGGAGAGCTGCCTCAAAATCCTAGCTGACATTTAAAGAAAGAAAAACAGCAAAGGAAATAGCATGGCAGCAAAAGAGAGAAAGGGGAGGTATCGCCAGACTTGTCCAGTTCTCAAAAAAAAAAAAAAAAATCTGAAATAAACATGTGGAGGAGGGCAATGCCTGGAAGGAAGCCCCTAGGAACTCGATTTTACAACCTGAGCCCTGAGGCTGGGGTGGGGGATGTAGCTGTGAGGTAGAGTCTAGCCCACTTCCCATGAAGCTCTCTGATTATCCCCGGGGCCAGAAAGAAAGAGAGAGAGAGAGAGAGAGAGAGAGAGAGAGAGAGAAAGAAAGAAAGAAAGAAAGAAAGAAAGAAAGAAAGAAAGAAAGA